CGGTAATAATAATAATGCAAAATTTCCAACGAACCTGGTGCATTCGAAATCGCACCGTAATACTACGCTCACAAGAGCGCAATTTTTTTGTGATCAGAATTTATCTACCTCGCAGCTCAAGCGTTAGGGTTGTTTAAGCAAAGTAAAATAAATAAAAACTTAATTTTAAGAAGCATTTATTGTATTTACGATTGGTAAACGTTAATCTATAAGTCTTTTTCACGTAAGATGATCCGTATGACACTTCAAGGTTATCCATATTACGCATACTACATATGCAGAATATTTTTGAAAAAATATTTGTATTTTATTAGCAATATAATAAAAAAAAATTAACTACTTGTCTTGAAATATATAGTAAAACCTGAGTCTATTGATTATATTTTAATGAAATACGATGTACAAATATTTTTTATTTAATGTGCGCAATGTGTGAAACGGAATAGATTTAGTGCTGGGGTATTTCTTGTATAATAAAAACGATTATTTCCGCGGTTCATTAATCGATTGCAGTAAATACTTAGTTATTAAAAACATCACAAAAATCAACTATATTTTTCGTTTATTGACTTTAATAAACGCATTGAAAATAAATTAATAGTTTTTAATTTAAAGAAACAGAACCAGTACTTTTTAGGAATCGTTTTTTTGAACACGAACCATGAAATTTGAATATTATCAATAAAAAATTGTTACAATAATATTTGTAATGAAAAAAAACATGTTTTTTGTTAAATAACACCTATACAAAATATTTCTCTAAAAGTAGGTTTTACTAACTCTTCGAAAAAAATCGATAGATAAATCGCTATGGTTTAGTTATGTGACATCTCTAAATCTTTCAAACTCGAAACGTCATACGGATCATCTTAGGTGAAAAAGACTATANGTCAGATTACGTAGCAAGTAAACTAATTTAATTTTCGCTATTCAATCACACATTCACGATAGCAACCGAAATCGCCCGAATTGATCTGCCCCCTAGACAAGTGGCAAAATCTGACATTCTATTCGGACTGATTCGATTTTCGAAAAATGTGACTAGTTTAGTCTACTAATAGACCCACTGATCGCATTCGAAGTACCTGTGCGGCGCTAAACTCGTCACGACATGCAACGACACAATGGGCCAACTATCCGGCCGCCGGATATCCGGCTATCCGGCCTAGCAGCTGGCCGGATATCCGGTATCCGGTATCCGGCCAAACAACTATCCGTTTCATCTCTAGTCTATAGTACATTAGTAGAGCTACCTCCCCTAGCAGTTTGATTCACCCATTCTGGGACACTCTGTATAAGTAAAGTGTGTGGCCATTAGGGCATGCAATTCGGATATCCGGATATCCATATTATTCGGATATTCGCCACATTCATTATTCGAATAGCATCTATATAATTATTCGGTCTTTTGGAACAATACGAATACGCCTTTCCTATTAAAAACTTGTAAAAATATCTGACCGCAAACTACTTAATAAAACTTAGAACTATTAAAACTGCAGGCAAGAAGTTAGCGGTAAGGTTAGATGAATGGACAAGTGCGCGCAATCGCAGATATCCCTTCAAGTGCCAACCAATATTCGCGAAAAAGGTTAAAGTGTTAGACATAAATGCTTTCGATGCAGCGATGGTGCTAGTGTTATGGTGTAGTTATCTCCTGTTGTAATGAGATTTTTTGTTTGTAGTAAATCAGCAGGAGTCCAGTGACTCAGTTGCCCTCAGTGGTCATGGTTTCTCAACTGTCCTGGAATCTACTAAGGAGACTCTTGACACTAGCTCTTTGCAGTCTGTTGAATAGGAAGCCTTCAATGGTCATGAGTTGTTGGTCTGATGAGTTTGGATGATTTGAAAGTTTATCCTTGTAACGGAGTGTGTGGCTCTTTATTTCCTCTCTGGCTGTGGGCAATGGCAAGTCCTGATAGATGAGCCTGTTGCTAAAATACCACGGGATTTGGTAAATCAAACGTATGGCTTTTGTCTGGAAGCGCTCGATTATGTCGAGATTGGAGTTGGCAGCTGTTCCCCACAGCTGTATCCCGTAGGTCCAGATAGGTTTGTAGACCATCATTTTGCTACTGGTGTTCAGCTGTGACTGGCCTCCGACAAGCCACATCATGTTTCTTAGTTTGGCATCTAGGTGCTTCCTCTTTGTCCATATATGCTTTCTCCAGGTTAGCCTGCGGTCCAAGTGCAAGCCCAGATACCTAATGTCCTCAGCGGCTCAGCCTGAGGTATTTGGATACTATTAAGTTTAACCGGTGGGCAGGAGTTTCTTTTTAAAGTGAAGGTTACATGAACATGCACAGATTTTTCTCTGTTCGCTTTAATACGCCATGAATGGTACCATTTCTCCATTTCCGTCAGGCTTTCCTGGATATAGAATGAGGCCGTGACTGGATCGTCGTGTGTTGCCATTGTTACATTGTCGTCAGCAAAGGTTCCTGTGAATGTATTTGCAGTTGTTGGCAGGTCTGCGGTAAACAATAGGTATAGCACGGGCCCCAAGACACTACCCTGGGATATACCGGACGGTTTGTTGCATAGGGCAGAACAAGAGTCTCCAGATCTGACTTCAAAGCATCTGTCTTTCAAATACGACCTAAGTATTTCGTAGAACGGGCATGGGAGGTTCTGTTTCAGTTTGTACAAGAGCCCTTTATGCCAGACCTTGTCGAAGGCTTGACTTATGTCCAAGAACGCAGCTGAGCAATATCGTTTCTTTTCTAGTACTTCTGAGATGATGTTTGTGGTTCTGTAGACTGTGTAGACCTGTTCAGTTGTGGAGTGTCTTTCCCGGAAACCAAATTGGTGTTCAGGTATCAGATCACCGATCTGGGGCTTTATTCGTTTGAACAGTATTTTTTCAAATACCTTCGATAGCAGCGTTTTTTTTTCAAGTAGTTATTGAAGTTAGATGATTGTATTAAGCAAATTGATCCTTATTAAAATGATTATAGACAAAAAAGTGTTTCTTTTAATTTACATTATTTTGAAAATAGCAGTATTCGAAAAAATCGTTTTATCCGAAGTATTCGAATACCATAAATTTTAGTATTCGAAATATTCGAATACCAATATCGAACGAATAATGCATGCCCTAGTGGCCATGAATGAACCATGTTGGACAACTATTGCAAATTGCATTCTAAATCACAGATATCCGTAACCGTAACTTTCGGATATCTGATATAAAAAATATCGGTATAATATTATTATCCATAACCAAAACTACATATCCATAATATCCCTACTATACACGATATCAAAGAAGTTCATTACTGATCCTGAAAATGCTTCATGTGCGCTATCATTTTTTCTACATACAAAACATCAAGGTTATTTTGTATGAATATTATCCAATACCATATAAACTGACGCTAAATTAAGCTGCTTCATAGCCTGAATAAACCTTCAAAGGCAAGAGCTATACCAAATGAAATTCAAAGGAGGATGACCAGCCAAAGCTAAGGAAGTATTAATTGTTCAGAAAAATTGAAAATGATTATTAATTATAGTCTATTCAGTGTAAGAAAGTGATTATGACACTTCTATTTAGTGAGACGCTTCTTTTAAACCTAATCAATATTTTTTAGAATCAAGAATTTATTTTCTTAAGAAATCTAATTGACTTTTTATTTGTTTGATTTTTAATTTTATCTATGAAAAATCAAAATTATATCTACGAATTTTAATTATCTGGATATGGAATAAACATTGTTACACAATAAATCACAAAGAATTCGGTAGTAGTCGGCCGTTTGGTGTAGTGGTTCGAAACGGACTACTATTCCGGAGGTAGCGGGTTCGATTCCCGCACAGTAGAAACATTTGTGTGGATGAACCTATTTGTTTGTATTGGACTGGGTGTTTTCTATGTATAATAAGTATGTATTTACAAAAAAAAAAGTATTTAAGTATGTTTATATCCGTTGTCTAGTACCCATAGTACAAGCTTTGCTTAGTTTGGGACTAGAAGCGCAGTGTAAAATGTCCAAGGATATTTATTTATTTAATTAAATATTATGCATTTTATTCAATAAAAACAAGAATATTGAATGACATACAACTCGTGGAGAAATCGCGTAATACACAACCGGCCATGTAAGGCAAACGCACACGTACTGACTGAACTTTGACTTGCCTGAGAGAATAATTGGGATTAGATGGTGAGATGACTACCATACCGATTATTGATTGGTTGCGATTGTTCTTGTCCATCCCTATGAGCAAAAGTTCCGATTAACGCATTATGCATTTCATGTAATATGATAATTTTCACAAAATTTAATAAATAATAAACTAATAAGTATTTGAAATTCTTGTTTAGGTTAAGTGAGAAAGATTATTAATTGTATTTTGAAAGGATAAAGTCACAAAAAAGTGATTGATTTTTATACCTCATATTTTTATTCTTAGGAAGTTGGATTCATGAAACAAAATGTTTCATCTGTCTAAATCACCATCATAAGCTGAATGAACTATAAATTGTACAAATGTACAAGAAAATTATATGACTGATTCGTATTAAGATTTTAAAATACCTACTTACCGTCATTTAAAAAACAATTGTGGGCCATTATGGATGGAAGTGGATTAAATAAAAATTTTAAGTAAAAAAGGTGGATCATTCTCGGGGGCTTGAGGCCTATCTCGCTCTATCTCGATACATAATAAAACTTGTGATGCTGATGCCATGTATGCCATGAAAAGAGCCTTCATCCTTAACTCTATCTAATGAATCACTATATCGAAATATAATTATTTGACTGCAAGTCCATGACCTCAAATAATTACAATCTAAGACTTAAAAAAAATGGTACCGATTCAACATAATATTTCGTCCAATTCCATCCTGAATTGGGTTTTAAAAATATGATAAAACATCGAGTTCAAATACTTTTAAAATAAAAATAAATAAGTTGTGTTGGCAATAAAATGAAAACGAGTGGTGATAACTACTGTGATTTAGAATAAATTTATAAAACTATGGTAAAACTTACTTCAATTTGAAGCTCATCTTCAGGATGAAATCCTCAATCACATTCACGCAAGTTTATTTTACACCTCACACTCACAATAGATACTTGAATACTGACTAAAGTAATTGAATAGGTAAATAGTCACAACTGCAAACAATTTGTTAATACCGGTAACTTCTTCAAAAAACGGGAACATTTATTGCAGCAAGCAAGTCACAACACGAACACCATAGAGAAAAGTAATACATAGGAAACGAACGAACACTTCTTCAAGCAAAGCAAGTGAGTGCACAGTCACACTGCAGACTGCACAGATGGATGAGAAGTGAAGTGAGTGAGTGAGTGATCATCACCACAGATCATCACAGTCACAGACATCATACATGATGAATGAAGGAAGACGACAACACGACAAGCCACCGCCGTGACCAGTCCACAGTGGGTCTAGTCAAAACGCACTTTAAAATCGCAAACTCATCGCAAACCAGTCGCAAACAAATAAACAAATCGCAAAAGAGGTCGATAACAAAAAAGGCTTAGTCAAACGGCAAAAAATCGAATCGCAAAGCCCTACCTATCGATAATCGAAAGACTGGATTGAAAGGACAATGGGCAAAATGGTACCCGGCTCCAATAGATATGCTTCTAGTGTCGTTTGAAAGGTCTTACCAAGATGAACAACTTTTACTATGGCCACCAACCTCAGATCTGGTTGCGTTCGAAGATAAACATACTTTTTGTGTAACCGAAGTATCATACGTGTCCAATTGTCCATCGTATGGTACTTAGGTTATGCGAGGCATAAAGGGTTTACTGCTGGAGCATCCTTCCTTAACTCTATAATTATTGATAGGGATATTAATGAAATAAATGTTTTTATTTGAAGAACTACTACCCCCTTATTAATAAAAAGTTATACCTAGGATGAACCTTGGATTAAAATGACATTTCCATACCAAATGACAATTTAAGCCAGAGTTTAACTAGGGTGTAACTTTTATTAATAAAGGGGTTGGAGTTTTATTACTTTTTAAGGGTTTTATTATGGGTTGCTAAAGCGAACCCACAAGACCCAATAAGTCCACCCACAAGATGGACCGACGACCTCATAAAGGTAGCGGGAAGGCGCTGGATGCAGGCCGCCACCAATCGGCCATTGTGGAAATCATTAGGGGAGGGCTATGTTCAACTAGACGTTCTATGGCTAAAATGATCATGATGATGATGATGAAAGCGAATAAAGGGCTAATGGCTTGGGTAGTTCATCGTAGGTATAATCCTTTCCTTTTCAATGTTTATTTTAGTTATATTAATAGATTCTAGTCATAGTACATACTCGTATACATGGATGATTGTGTTATACTTTCATATAATACTTAGTGGAATTACTGCTTTCAAAACGTGAATTAGAACTGGCCCCATAGCAGACATTTTTCTACATCTAAAGGCCTTTTGAAATATATATTGGTTATGGCTATTGGAGCGGGTACCACTTTCCATACATTTGTGCCCATCATCCTTTCCCATACAAAGGCTTAGCCAACATGTATTTAAGACTCAATCAAAATCGAATCGAATCGCAACACCCGCCATTTTCATTGCGATTACTAAAACCCCGGTGATAAGCTTGGATTCGATCGAAAACCAATAGGGTGAGTTGAAAACCAACAGATTTTAGATTAGACGTTTGTCAAAGTTAAACTACGATGGTGCAACCCACCCTAAGGCTGTTTTGACAAATCCGTATCGCGATTTCGTTTTGATAGCTAGTTTGACAGCGAAGCATAGACGTAAAAGAGCAGAAAGAAGGAAGAAACTAATAAAAAAAAAGCTAGAAATAGTAAAAACAATCGCAAAGTCATAGACATTTTTTAACTTTTATTCGATTTTGAATGAACTTTTATATCGCCGCGTCGTTGGTGGTTCAATGTGGCTGCCATTTTCCGATCGAATCGAATTACTGGTGACGCGGCGACTGACATTAGTGAAAACTTCCTATTGGTTTGGGATGGCATTTTGACTAGACCCACTGTGGGTCTGTGCACCATCGTAGTTTAACTTTGACAAACGTCTAAAATCTGTCAAACTCCATACAAAAAACACCGGTTAACGTCATAGTTACGGTCAAAGTTAGGTGGTGCAACTCACCCTATTGGTTTTCGATCGAATCGAAGCTTATCACCGGGGTTTTAGTAATCGCAATGAAAATGGCGGGTGTTGCGATTCGATTCGATTTTGATTGAGTCTTAAATGCATGTTGGCTAAGCCTTTGTATGGGAAATTTCAATCCAGTCTTTCGATTATCGATAGGTAGGGCTTTGCGATTCGATTTTTTGCCGTTTGACTAAGCCTTTTTTGTTATCGACCTCTTTTGCGATTTGTTTATTTGTTTGCGACTGGTTTGCGATGGGTTTGCGACTTTAAAGTGCGTTTTGACTAGACCCGCAGATCGCTGGTTCCGATTTTTGCCATGTTGGAAACCTTATAGTTGAACGATGGTGGCGCCCCCCTGTCAATGAGTTTTGTTTGACAGTTCAGAAAAATGGAGGCCACACTCCGAATACCTACTTGAAGCACAACCTATGTATCACTATCTCGCTCTCTGTGGGCAGAATCTATTTTTCTAAATAAACAAAAAATATAAATTTGCTCAAAGTCAATGAAACTTAATGTAAAATCTTTATTTCTTGACATAGGTATCATTAAATGATATAGGTCTACCAGAATCTCATGCCAAACAAAAATATTGGAAAAGTGTGTTTTTCATATGGCAATTGTCTATGGTTTAATTGTCACCTGTCAAAGAAAGTTATGAAATCTGTCAGCCGCTGCAAAAATTTTGTAATCTCTTCTTGACTATTTGTTATTTTTGTGAAAAAGTCGAAAAAGCTCAAGCAAGTCATATTGTTTTCAATGTGAATTGTAAAATAAGGCATAATTCAAAGTCAATCTTTGATTCTAAAGCGCGTCGTCGAGTTGACAGTAAGTTGGACTGAAATGTTTTGATACACTTAGTTTATTACCCAACTACGTCACAAGGAGGGTTATGTTTTTTATATTATTCTTGATAGCTGCTTTATCGGGGTTTTCAGGTATATCTCACAAATTGGTGCAGAGGAATGGTCAAAATGTTATGACCATATAAAGAAAATTGAAAAAGATTTTATCTCTTTATCTTGATCATCTATTGAAGAACAAGAAATTGCAAGTGGAGTTCTTAGAATCGTTTTCTAGTTATGAATGAAGTGATAAGTTAAAAGTATAATGCATAATAAAATTAGTTACTTAAAGTAATAATACGATTTATTTATTTTTTAAGACATTTTCCTATGCTAAAAACCCGATGTTTAACAACATTCCTCATACACATACCTACCTAAAATGTATATTCGTACTTCATGTTAATTAATATTAAAGTCATAAAAGTAAAAAATTAAACACTCTCAAGATCGTTTATTCCAATTTCCCCAGTATTGCTCTCAACAAAGTTTATTTTCCCTATTTGCCATGAGATTCTGGTAATAAGTGTAAATACCTACTGATAAAACGTTTTAGGAAGAAATTACTGTGAAAAATGTTTACAATGATGCAATGTCGGAAATCACGAAATAAACACTTACGCGTGGAATCTTAAGTCATTTCCAGGACACCACGTACTACCGCAACCACGCACTACAAAAAGACAATGCCGGAAATTGGCGTCTTTTTTTTTTCGCGCAGCTATCGACCAAACCATGTTTTTTGGTTACAAAATAGTGTAATAAACCAAACTTACTATGACACAGATGAGTATACCTTTAAACTCAGTCTGAACTGAGTTACGAGCATTAGAAGTTTGATGATTTACATACTAGATTTGCTTTATGTGCGCAAGTTTTGTAAGAAATTGCAACAAAATAGTGACGTCTTTTTTATTGTGCTGATTCTGCTCCACACTGATGGCTGGAGCCTATAATGGATGATACTGTTTGTTTACACATACAATGTCACTGCTTTGTTGCAATTTCTTACAAAACTTGCGCGCAGAAAGCAAATCTAGTATGTAAAATCATCAAACTTCTAATGCTCGTAACTCAGTTCAGACTGAGTTTAGAGGTATACATGTCATAGTAAGTTTGGTTTATCACACTATTTTGTAATCAAAAAATAAGGTTTGGTCGATGGCCGCGCGAAAAAAAAAGACGCCACCTTCCACACAAAATCTGGCATTGCCATTTTGCACCATTTCTTGTGATAAAACAATGATTATGTCCTGTAAAAAATCTCAAACGAAATTAACTGCATAATAAACAAAATAGTGAACAACCGCCATGATGGGCCAATGTTGCCACATGGTACCGATTTCCCAGAAATTGGGATTGTAATTCCCTGATTCGCCAACACATTAAGCCTAAACGGCCGACAATTTTGTGATTTTTTATTTAACTAGGTATAGCCTGACCAGGAACATAAAAACCCTGGCATAGAGGCGCGTCAATTGCATTTGATAGTGCAACACTGGGTACAGTCGTACCTGTATTAAATTAATAGGATAGCTTTATGTATCAGGATTCAGGATTATGGGCTAATTTAATATTTTCATAAATTTACAAAAAAATATTATATTATAGGTAAACTGGTTTAAGTAAATTAAATAAAACCATCAATCGAGCAACTAGGATTTTATTATTATTCATCAATAATCAAATTCTGAACTTGAATATTCAACTACAATGTCTGCTCATAAACGCTTCAAACTCGGTACTTCTTTCCCAATTCCATAAAATTCAACACTTACAAAGTGACAAAAAACTTTAAAATAGGTAGTTGAAACAAACCACAGCTAATTTTCATAGTTGACTGTACTATACGATAAACATGTCAGTCAATTTGACAACCTTTGTCGGAAATATTATTCAATGAAAATATTGTCCGAATCCTTAGTATTTCTCTTCGACAAATACTTTAACACATTGTGAACCACTTTTCTTTCACGACTATAAAAAGATTTTAGCAATTTAATTCACAAAATCAATTGCGCACATTTAAAATAAAGTTTGTTTACACTTTGACAACAATAGACTGACATGCAAGGTGACATGTCAATGAAGTTTTCAGTTACTGTTGCCATTAAAAGAAATTAAGTAGTACCATTAATTTTCCGCAACATGGCGAGGGTTTTTATGTTCCTGGTCAGGCTATAATTGTAGTTCAAATATTTAATTATTTATTTATACCTATTCTGATTTGGTTAGTGAATTGGCTATTTCAAAGAATTTACTAGGAGATTTCAATAAGGAGATAGCAATAATACAGTCCACACTAAAAAGAGAGGTCGGCCCACAGAGAGCGAGATAGAGATAAGTAGGTATTTGACTCAAGTTGTTGTTCCAAGTGTGGTCTCCATTTTTATCTTTAGCTTCAGTGCTTTTTCTCTATGGTGTATTGCGTGCTCTGTGGTGTATTGTATTGTGATGCCAATAGAAAAAAAAAGTGATTTTATCTCACAGTTTTATCTCAGCAATTGATTCCAACTACATTAATAAAATTCCAACGAGAAATCACAGTTTCAGTTAGCTTTTCACACCATTTTCCCTAAATAAATATTTTTTTTGACAAAAGTTCGTAAATCCAAATTCTGGAATTTTTGTCGAAATCTACCTCAACTTCGCCGATATGCCACCAGCTGATGGAGATTCTGAAACATCTCGTCTTGTTTCGTCGAGCTCTGCACAGAAACCTAGCTACCTTAACCTTATCAGTAATTTGTGTGGCTTGATTATTCTCGGAATAATAACTTATTGTTGTTTCAAAAAGGAAGTCACCCTATTTTCATTCCATCCCACGTTGATGACGTTGGGGGTAAGTTACAACTTATTTTATGTTTGGAGTAGAACAAAAATGTAATAAAGCCAAAGAACTGAATTTATTTCTAATGATTTGATTTATTTTTATTTACAGTGGATATTCCTTATGACTACAGCTGTAAATGCTATTACTCCAGGAGATTTAGCAACAGAGTGGATGCCTATACGTCTTCGAAGCGCACGTCACTGGGTATTACAAGCCATTGGAGGTATTATTATCACTATTGGATTTTTAGTTATACTTATACATAAAATTAAAATTGATAAACCTCACTTCACCTCTTTACATGGAAAATTTGGTTTGGCATCTTTGATATTCATGATGGCTACCATGCTCGGAGGAATTGGTGCTTTATACAGTCTTAAACTCAAATATTACCTTGCCCCAATTTACACTAAAGTTTTGCATGCTTCTATTGGACTTGTAACTTTTACTTTGGGAATAGTTACAATTTGTTTAGGCTTATTTTCTGATTGGTGGATGAAAGTTGGCGACAATATATCAAAATATGTCGCTTTGTGCTTAGTTTTGTTGGTTATGTTATTTACTATATTGAGACCCTCCCTAAAAATATTTTTTCGTGTTAAGGAAAGGCTTAATGTTAATTAAATGGCATACAAAATAGTTCTCAAGTATTTATATCTATCAAACTATAAATGATTACGTTATAAAATATTATTTCCTGTTGTTTTGGTATGTTTTAAAGCAAAGCTTAAAGATTATTGTGATAATTTTTGTTGTAGTTTGTAAGGATGTATTTTTTTCAATTTACTTTTGTACCTAATAAGAAACACGTAAAAGTTGTTAAATTGACAACAATAATAATTATTGTCACTGCAATGGCTGTCTCCATCGTCTCATTTTAGGCCGAGCATGCGGGTTGAAAAGACCCAGATTTTGAATGTATTGTTTTGAATAACTGAATGGAATTTTGGGTTTATGTAAAACAAACAAAAAAAAAACAATCACAAAAATCTAGAGATAACAGCCAAATTACTTTTTACCATTTAGGAACTAGGATGTCAATATTCAGTATATAACTTTTTTTATACATAATTATAATCTAGAAACAATAACATTATTTTATTATTATCAAACTAATCTAGCATCTCATAAATTGCTATACAATAAATCAAACTATGATTTACCTTTTTTCAACCTGTATTTTTATATGTATTTTCTTAAGAATTTTAACATAAAAACTGTATCTGATCATTCTAGTCGTTGGTGCTTTTTTACAGTGTAAAAGTTGCATAATTATTTTTACGCTATAGATGGCTAGAGCCCTGAATTAGAATCTTGTTACACTAACTTTGGAATTTAAAATAAAGCAACATTGCAGCGAAAGTCTTGTCTTGTCTTGCCTTGTCTGAACAAGGCCTTTTTCTTTCCCACTGGACCTTGGGTTTGCAATCAAGGACCTCCGTTTACTCAAAATAAAAAAGGTACATTATAGTTGAAGGTTAACGCCAGGGCTATATTATTAAAAAAATATACATAATGATGCAATGTGTGCCAAATTTTTACTGTAAATTATTTATGATGAAATAGATTTAAATAGATTTAACAAGTCAAGCCACATCAGGATTCTTTGGTTTATAGAACCATTTTATTTTGCATTGGTTGTATTAAAAAAAATCTGTTCTTAGCGCTGTCAAAAGATGGCTCTGCATGCTAGAAACGCTTACAGTAAATACTACCCACACATCAATGATAAAAATGGTCTCATCTGTTAAATTTATTTTATCGAACTTTGTTAAATCAATGTTTATTTTTAAAGTAATAAATAGTAGGTATATTATGAATGTATAGAAAATATGTCGTCAGCAACAAAAAGCTAGTTTAATCTACATACTATGTACTTCACTTTAACTTGCTGGAGTTAAATGAAACTATTGAACATTTCGCTTGTGACAAACTGTATTCTGAATAATAATTATGTCACATTAACCAACATTATTATTTTCGTACTAGCTGACCCGGCGAACTTCGTACCGCCTTAGCGTAGAGATTTTCTTAATATTTTTTTCCGTAAGAACCATCCTTGGACTTCCACAAACATTAAAAAAAAAGAATTATCGAAATCGGTTCAGCCGTTCACACGTGATGCCGTGACAACGCGAAACGGGTTTCATTTTTATATATATAGATAAGCATCAATCCAAAAGAAACTAGAGTTAGTGACTTTCAAATAAGAAAAAAGAATCTAAGACAAATCAAAACGCAACAACAACAACTATATGCACAATGAAAATATTGTTCAAAGTACGTAAATAAGGTGAATATTTTGAAATTTCTAAAGATTTATACCTATTATGTATTTTTCGGTGAACATAAAATGTAATATCAAAATAGCTTCTTAGATTTTTTATAGTTTTAAGGAGAAAACTGTATCATCTTCAAAAAGCATGTTACGACTTACGGTTACGACCTCAGATCATAGAAAGATAATAGATATGAAGTCGCGCGTAACTACAACGAGAACCAGTGTCCCCACATTTCCCCCACCACAGCTCCCACATACACATTCAACTGTGTAAAAACAAAGCGACTGAGAGTCTACGACAACATGTGCAACCGGCTTAAAAGTGCTGTGATTGGCCAGAAGGCGTGCCTTATGGCCAATCAATGGCCGCGTGACGTGACGCACACTTTGAAAAAAGCAATTAAGAGAGAAGAAAGATAAAATGGAGTCGATAAGATATCGATACTTTAAATCCTGGGGGCAAGGCTCGAAATTGGTTTAAAAAATGCTTGTATGAAAACCTTTTTATTATTATACGTTATTATTATGTTCTTTAACGATTTTTGCATAAAGGAGTCAGTTCCATTTTAGATGGACGAAAAACTCAGAATCAATTATTGGGACTAAATGAAGTTACCTTATATTAATTTACCCCAACCAAAGCTCAATATTGTTATCGATGGAGTACTTACAATATTGGTAATATATTATTATTTACTTTAATAATAATAACAGGATCACTGTAATTATTATTAACTACTATCGCGCATTAACTTTTTAATTATGGCGAAATTCGTACCGCCTATGTTTATCAAAAATAATGCCTATATTAGGCTTTCAACTAGCTCTTATAGTAATTACATAGTTGACAGTTACTAATCCCTTCTACTATTGTTATTGTTTTTGTAAAAACTTAAAAATCGCAAGCAACTCATGATTTTTTCATTCAAAATTAGAAAATAGAAAATAATAATTTACTTCTATTTATCGATAATAGGAAACCGTATTAGAACACGAGCCCTGCACTATGTTACGACCGGCACATGCGGCCGTACTGTGTATTTTCACGCGTCAGTGGATATCGGAAGAAATAAAATACATTGCGCAGTAGTTACGCATGACATAAAGTGGTTGCTAACTAAATCGTCAATGTACAACGTGTTTGAATTTTTATCACCACTAATTTCGATATCGCAGTAAATGTCACGGCACTGAATTCGTTCGTAAAAATGTTTAGTTTTTTTTATTTATAAGCAAAATACCAATGGATTTGCAATACTTACATGTGGTAAATGACTTCATTGTTCCTGTAGTTCTTCGTTTCACTTATGTTATTGCACGTTACGACGCATTATCCAACAATATCGGAGAACATTTCCTCAGTACGACTGAATCGCGACTAACCTGGTGTCGCGGGCGATGTTCGTTTCTGGGCATATCGCGGAGACACGCGCCACGCCCCCGTTTCACATCTATTCCCTTCTATGATCTGAGGTTACGACTGAGTGTGGACTATAAATCTCTTTAAATAAGGAAAGCCGTTTCAAAATGTTTACCAAAAGCTCTTTTACCTATTTTAAAAGATACAGTCCGCTCTCAGTGGTGGGTGAGTCGTAAGAGCATGATTTTATTAGGTACTTAAAGTATAATGGGTCTGTAAAGTGTATTCTTGTATGTATGCCTAAGTATGTATGTATTTATCGTCATTTAATAAATATTACATACAAATATATTATTATTACAATCTGGTACATACCTACACAAGTTGGGCCAATATAGCACTTTCTACGTTTATATCGAATTATGCTCGTGCTTTGTCCTCGAGATTAGAAATAAGAACTATGTAGTATCACGTACGGTGATGCCAGTTTACGCACTGTTAGTTGGGGATATTTTTTTTTTTTTTTTTTTTTGGGTATCTCAGTTTACATCCCATTTGACATTGGTATCCGTCGTCAGTCACGATTCAGTGCTCTGCCAGTTCGCACTTCTTCTACTTAAATACGTACCCAGTGTTAAAAATAGTGTTTTTGTGTCGTCAAAATGCCGAACGAAAAACGTCAAATGAGGATAAGGAACATTTGCTGAAGAAAATAAATAAATTGGAGCAGAAGATATGGGGTGCTGAACGTCGTTCAAGCGGTTCAACTTTCTAATCTCTTCGGACAAAGCCCTCGCATAATTATGATAGAACTTCACTTTTTAAGTTCGTTTAATCATTAATAATACATAACATCGAAGCCGTCACATCGAATCTCTACTCTTCTTGTCATTTTCTTTATTCTGAAAGAGGAGAAAAAGAGAAAAAAAAAAAAGAAAATGAGAAGAACACGATGGATATAATATAATATAATATACCTTTCGATGATAAGAAAACATTCGATATTTTATCCATTCAATGTTTAGGCCAATGATTCGATATAATGACTGTTCGTTGTAACGGCTTCGATGTTAAATGACATTCGATGAAACTACTTTCGATAAAACGTAGATTTTCTAGAATTTTTCTTTAGGTACTTAGGTATTTCATTACAAAATATTTTATTTAATTGTCTGTGTATCAGAATTGTTTCACTAAAATATAAATAAAAAATAAATAAATAATAATCTAGCCATTGCTCATGATCAGAAGTCAGGATTAACATTCCTTGGCTTGGATTAACAGACCTTTTGTAATCCCAAAATGATAGTAGGTAGGTAGTCCATGACTCTTAGAGAATAGTGTAGGTATTGTATTCTATTGATTCGTATGTGAAGTTACGTAAAGTAATTTAGATGAAAATTTCAAAATTGCCAAAGTGTTATTAGTATGTAATGTTTAGTTTTATCTTGTCATGTTATTCCCGGGAAATCTTCTAAAAATTCCTTTATCTATCTTTATAAAATAGAGGAAACTAATACTAACTAATAATCAGAGCCTAAAAGAGGCAGCCTAAGAACGATTGTACCTATAATTTTATATTTATCTGATATAAGACTAGGCGCAGACCACCGATTTTTAGTTGGCCGATAGTTGTGCCCGATTTTAAATTGTATGAAGAATCGGCCAAATCGAATCGGTGTAATGTGCGTACTTCCATACATGCCCATACTGATCAACTGCCCGACTAAACTATCGGCTGACGAAAAATCGATGGTCTGCGCCTAGGCTAATACTTAGTTATAGTTCCAAAATACTGGACTGTCCTGTCGATGACATTGACAGTGGGGCGCCACCGTCAATACCGGATCGCTGGTTCAGATTTTTGCCATGTTGGAAACCATATAGTTGAACGATGGTAGCGCCCCCCTGTCATTGAGTTTGGTGGGACAGTTCAGCGTGGGTCATCTATACTGAATAGAAATTAGAAAGACTTATTTATTTATGCCGTTTAGGGCATTGAATGTATATCTACTTTCATTGTACTCAATGTGTATTAGGCCTAAGCTATTAGTGTGCTACTTACAACTAAGGGAAAATAATATATTTTATTGTTGCATTTAAAAAATATAATCTTTAAAAATATAAATCTGATACATGTAATAAAAATCTTTTATTGTAAATATTGTAAACCTCATGACACGGACCAGTGCCGGATTTAGAGGTCTGGAGGCCTCGAGGCAGCAGGAGTGGAGGCCCCCCTGCCTGGCCCAAATTATTTTAAGACATTTATTTCATCAAGAAGAATTTACAATTCATTTGTTTGTGAAATAGAATTATTATTTCTTTATTATGAATATTCCAAATAAATGGTCAATTTTACTCTTATGAACGGATGCACATCTTTTTTATACAGTGGGTCTAGTCAAAACGCACTTTAAAATCGCAAACCAGTCGCAAACAAATAAACAAATCGCAAAAGAGGTCGATAACAAAAAAGGCTTAGTCAAACGGCAAAAAATCGAATCGCAAAGCCCTACCTATCGATAATCGAAAGACTGGATTGAAATTTCCCATACAAAGGCTTAGCCAACATGCATTTAAGACTCAATCAAAATCGAATCGAATCGCAACACCCGCCTTTTTCATTGCGATTACTAAAACCCCGGTGATAAGCTTCGATTCGATCGAAAACCAATAGGGTGAGTTGCACCACCTAACTTTGACCGTAACTATGACGTTAACCGGAGTTTTTTGTATGGAGTTTGACAGATTTTAGACGTTTGTCAAAGTTAAACTAAGATGGTGCAACCCACCCTAAGACAAATCCGTATCGCGATGTCGTTTTGACAGTTAGTTTGACGGCGAAGCATAGACGTATAAAACCACAGATATGGATAGATGCAGCATGTGTCAAAAATTGTATGAAGCCGAGCGTGCCACTTTTTAAACGTCATTAGTGTCATTTTAGCGAATTTTAGTGATTGCCGCAACGTAAAAGTAATCGTATCATCGTACTGCATTCGCAAAGTCATCGAATGATATCGTGTGACTCGATTCGAAAATTAATTAATTCCGATAAAACTGATAATTTGTTAAATACAAAACTAAAAGCATCTTTATTTACCTTTTTAAAATAAAGTAATACTTACAAATCGTCAAATCTCGTTATTTTTTTTACCCTACCAGCGTTTCAAGACATAAAGTCAAGTGCATGAATACATGGATCAGTGTGTGTCTTATTGTTATGAGTAAGTACGGTTCCTTGGGATCGGTATGAGTGCACCACATACAGGGACCATGGTTTTAACTCTTAAGAGTACATCGCAGGATATGTATTAAAAACAATGCTACTTTATACTTCTTCTACTGCTACTTTATTCTAATTAATTATTTGCTACTTGTGCTGTTAATTACAATTCTCAATCCGTAAATAATATCTTCTTTCTACTGTGTTCGTACTACTGTTCTCGTAAAATCATCGTAACCGATTGTTGTAATCGGATTACATGAACATCACTCGACCGTGTATGTCCATTTGGACATATCGGAATGGCACGCTTTGACGATCAACTTGCTGTGTCTACTCTAATCCATATCTGTGTATAAAACAGAGAGCAGAAAGAAGGAAGAAACAAATTAAAAAAAAAAGCTACAAAAAGTAAAAACAGTCGCAAAGTCATAGACATTTTTTAACTTTTATTCGATTTTGAATGAACTTTTATATCGCCGCGTCGTTGGTGGTTCAATGTGCATTTTGGCTGCCATTTTCCGATCGAATCGAATTACTGGTGACGCGGCGACTGACATTAGCGAAAGCTTTTACATTTTCAAGATTTATTATAAGAAAAAAAATGGAAACTTGTCCATTGATGATTTATGGCGCAAGTACACTATGCGGAAAATGGTCCAAGTTCATGCTTATAGTCTTGGCCAATTTCCCGCATAGTGTACTTGCGCCATTACATTTTGACAAGACTACTTCTGTTATCTATGGTAAGATTTTTTTATCATCAATGTTGCCACTGACAATTTTTTTTTGCAGTGTTTTTAAAGGAAAAGCTATCTTTTGAGCGGCCGCGGCCGTAGGTAGCTTAAACGACCCCGTATCAAAATATTGGGGTTCCTTTTGAACTATAGTTCATTCAGGCCCGATTCGACCAAACTTTTATCCGAGAATAACTCACTAGTTGGCACATTGACAGTTTCAGTATGGAAAATGATAATATTTTATAATTTTCAATTTATCACATTAACCCTAACATATACAGTGTGAGTCACGTTAAAGTGTACATATGAAAATAGATGAAACTAGACCTATTTTTATCGACTAAAAAGAGGTCAAAAAAATTGAGAGATTTTTTTTATTTTTTAGAGATTTTTTTTCTTCCAATAACTTATTGTAAAGAAAACGTAATAACTTTTAAACTAAGCGGTATATCCTGATAAAATAAAAACAGTAATAATGCTAAATAAGAGGCGATACTAAAAAAATACATAAAATACACAAAAAAGGCCAACAAATAATAAAAAATTATACTTTAAAAAAAATGCTTTTATATTCGTGTTTTTTTGGTTATTTGTTAAATTTCTCCAAAAATGCCCCTATAACCTATCACAACGTTTGCAGATGGGTAGTGGGTAAAAACCCATTTCACCCAATTGGGTTAAAACTGGGTGATTTGGGTAAAAACCCGGATTTTACCCATTATCACCCATTCTGGTGGGTGAAAACAAAAATAGCGTTTTTTTAAAGTGAGAAGTGGTATTTGTTGCTAAGGGGGCGTTCTAGTGTTACGTAATGCAATCTGGGGGGAGATGAGGTCTTGAAAAACGTTACAATGCGTTACAGTGGCGGAAGTGGAAGTGCCCCCCCCCCCCATGTCCTTGCCATGACTAGGCGCAGACCACCGATTTTTAGTTGGGCGCCTAGGCTTAATTAGAGATTTTTCAAAATTGGCGTAGAGTTTGCTATCGTAATAGATTTGCTGCCGTAGGCCATAGATTTAATTTCAACTTTGTCAAATTTCCGTAAAACACGGTAATTGTCGTAGCAATGGCAACACTGCCTTTATCAAGCAACAAGGCAAGCAGATTTGCTGACTCGCCCTGTGGGTATGAAAATGGTGAAATAATAGTCCAGTCCAATCTGCTTCTTGTTTTACCGGTTTACTTCTGAAAATCGATCGAATTAAATTCTGATTAGTCACAGTCATTCCTAAAAAAGTATTCTTAAAAACGCATTGGGTTAATCAGCGCTGAAAGGTAAGTCCATCTAACTAAAATAATTTCGTGGTGTAAAATGGCGTCTGCCCTAAGCTCGAAAGTAATTTTGGATGTATGATTGTTACAGATGCCGAATATAAAATTGCAGTCTTCGGACAATGAAGTATTTCCCGTCGATATTGAAATCGCAAAATGTTCCGTCACAATCAAAACTATGTTGGAGGACCTCGGCGTCGACGATGAAGAAGAAGAAGTCGTTCCATTACCCAATGTAAATTCCGCTATTTTAAAAAAAGTGATTCAGTGGGCCACATACCATAAAGATGATCCTCCATTGCCAGAAGATGACGAAAACAAAGAAAAGCGAACAGATGATATCTCTTCTTGGGATGCTGACTTTTTGAAAGTGGATCAAGGCACTCTCTTTGAACTGATATTAGCTGCTAATTATTTAGACATCAAAGGATTATTGGATGTGACATGTAAGACTGTAGCTAATATGATCAAAGGCAAATCTCCTGAAGAAATCCGCAAAACATTTAACATCAAAAATGACTTTACAGCTGCGGAGGAAGATCAAGTACGTAAGGAGAATGAGTGGTGTGAGGAAAAGTAATGTAACACTACTGTGACTAGCTTATAAATTATAATTCTTTTTAGATTTTAATTATAATAATTTTTAAGGGATTTTGTATAGTTCACCCGAAAATACATCAAGTTTAGTTATTTCACTTTTTTGAAAAATGTTTTGTGTTACAGGAGTGTTGCTATGTGAACCTAATTCTCTAATTTAACCTAATAATAATATAGTATTATTAAATTAATGTAAACATCTTTAAATATTTCTCCAGTTTTATCTCATCACCTCCACCTCATCCAAGATATCATTCATTACACCAGTGTCAGTACCTACCTAGTAACTTAAATTTTATATGTTAGTCCTCCTATTATTCACATGACATACAAGCAAGCCTTTATTTCTGAGCTTTTAATATACTACTAATTAGCATAAATTATTATTATATTGGCATAAATAGGCTATTAGTCTGGATGGTCAAGTGGTGTTACTATTATAAAAATACCTACATGAATAGATAATGTTTATGATCATGCAAGTTCATTGGTGGCGTTTTGATAGCCACCAGAAATTGAAACTCCCATGGGTTTATTAAAGAGAACCTAATTGATGAAATTGATTCCCTAACAAAATTAATTTAAGTACATACATACCTACTTAAATAAATAATTGATTTTAAATGGTTTATTTTTAATTCATGACCTAGCATTAAAGATTTGTCCACTGGCTTAAATTACTTGTTCAGTGACTGGAATGGAGAGAGAAAGAGAGTAGGTAATTCTATGCAATTCTATTCTAGGTTTGTACTTTTGTTAAACTTTGGCGGCTCGTCGTAACTAGCTATCCAGTCTTATCTGGATCTGAAATTTATTTCATTTGACTAAAGACATTCGATATTAACCCTTATTCAAATAAAGGTAGATATATTACCACTTTGTTTACTTTTAAAAAAGGATCCTAATTTTCGATATGGTAATACTTAAAGATATCTTGGTCACTTATTTATATTTTTAAATATATTTTTTTACTTATCTATGCCATTTTACAACTTTTCAACGTCATTTGTCACTGTCAGATAATGTCAAAGTCAACCAAACGGTTTTGGTGTTAAAAATTTCAAGTTTTTAGCGCGCGTTTTTAGTATTTTTGAAACTTTGTTCAACGAAAATTCTGATAAGTGTTTTTTGGATTCAAATTCCTAAACTATAACATTTATTGTATATTCTTACTTATAGGCAACGTCTGCAATTGATTTATTCATATAATTTAGACATTTTAAAGAAGTGGTAAATAGTTTACCATTGTCCGATCCCGTCTTGACAAAAGTCTGATGATATATAAAAAAACTGTTGTTTTTTGTATGTGCACAAATAAAACTAAATAAATATTTGGAGAAATTTTAAGTTATTTTGATAACTATTTACGTAACGTTTTGACGTTACGTAATTAGTGAATTGTTAGTTTCAGACTCAAGGTAAGCATCCTAATTTTAAGCATAATAACTAATATTAATCAATATTATTTTAAATAAAAACAATAAAAATATTTCATTCCCAAAATATTTAATAAAATATAGGCAGAAGCAAGAGGAATTCACTAGTCAAGAACCAAAAATAAACCAAAACGGACAATGGTAACTATTTTACCACCAACATTTAATAATTTGTAGTCATGAATGGATAATGGTAAATTATTTACCACCCAAAAAACTACCCCTTCCCCTATTTTTTTTTATAAATTTTGATCAAAAATATGAAATAAGTGACCCACAATTACCCAAAATCCACTTCAACTTTGTAAAAAAAATGCATACCAGCTCGCGTTTGAATAAGGGTTAATATCAAACAAAAAAAGCCGTTAAAAACCCTTCTGACCCGTGGAACACCAAAGTGGTTCACCTAGGTGTTCTACTATTCAAAATAATGTAGGTAACCATAGTTCACCTATTTCGTGGAATACAAGTAGGTAAAGTATAAAGTTCTTGAGTGGCGACCACGAGCCGGAAGACGTATCGTGGGTAGGCCTCCCACTAGGTGGACCGACGATCTGGTGAGGGTCGCGGGAGGTGCCTGGATGCCAGCGGCGCAGGACCGGTCTTTGTGGAAATCCTTGGGGGAGGCCTTTGTCCAGCTGTGGACGTCTTTTGGCTGAAACGAACGAACGAAAATCGTTTTCATAACTTAAGTTTTTTTATAAGCATTTCATATTATTATGTCCTAATATTAAAGAAACCCTAGAAAACTTATCCCTACTGGTAGGTAACGATAAATGGAAATAAAAATCCAACTCCACCAGTGCAATCAGTGGAGATAATTAGATAGATGGGATATATCCTTAGATTATGATTATTATGATTCATAATATACATAGGATGGAGCAAAAGATTCCAATAGAACATCACTAGGGCTATCCGCATCACCCCCATGTACCTATGTTCCGCGATTTTTGATAGCAAGTTACATTCCTGATTTTTTTATTATTATTAGATGAATACTAGGCCTAGCTGATTCTGAAGTATTTACATCCATCATACGAATGTAAACTAAAATCCTCTGTTGTACAAAAAAACGTAACTCAAAAGTCACGCACGATGATTTGGGTAGCCCTAGTGAGTGATGCTCTCTACCTCTGGGCTTCGGCTTGACACTTCTTTTTGGGACACCCTGTATATCCCTACCGGTATAAGAGTAGGCGCACATCGTTGATTTTTCGTCGGCCGATAGTTTAGTCGGGCAGTTGATCAGTATGGGCATGTGCGCACATTACGCCGATTCGATTTGGCCGATTCTTCATACAAAAATTAAAATCGGGCACAACTATCGGCCAACTAAAAATCAACGGTGTGCGCCTACTCTAAGTGGAAAAAAAATCCTAGTCAATCCCCATGGGGTTATTATGTCGGTAGGGAATGTGGAATAGGGAAAGAATGCAACTTCTTAATTACTTAACTAAGGTTACATACCTACCTACCTACTTTTTATTACACAAGCGGAATTTGGAATGAATAAAAATAAACATGTAAGTATTTAAGTAAAAGTTATTTTTATTAAAGTAAATTAAATTAACTAAAAGTGTAATAATCAAAGTAAATTAAATAAGTAACATAAATTATTAAGTAATGCTGAGATACGATTCTTTTATTGAGGTATAACTCTCAGGAATAAAGAAATTATCAATACACGTTAAAATAGGACTGTTGAATCTTCCAAGGTAGGAGCCGCAGGTGGCAGCACCAATTAAAATTCCGGTAAAGAATGCCACGGCAATAAGGGCAATTAAAGCACATTGGCATTTGTCTTGTTTCAGTAAAATATCCTTACAAATACACAGAAAGTCGTATACTGATCTGAAATAAAATTGATAGAGGGTTAACCTAATAGAACACGGTATGTAGATGTCGCAGACAGAGCCCCGATTACGGTTAACTTTTATAACGTCTACAATCCAGACGCGTTTCTGATTCTGCGATACGATTGGTCAAAACAGCTGACGTACGCTGTTGAACGACCAATATCATAAAAATTGTGCTTTTTATGAACTTTCAAGGAAAACTATAACGGTTAAGATAGATCAGTTACTTTAAGTAACAGTCGTTTAACACATGTGTTAAAAAATAATAAGAGTAAAATTTCGTACCTCATAATAATTCCTTAGAAGAAAATATGAAACGTACTAAGTTTAGAAAAAGTAATTGCCTGCTTCATAAATATATTGTGGCAACAACGGACACCTAAAGTGGCCAATAAGTTCGCAACACGTCTGTTAAAATTGGAATAAGATGGTGTTGTCAATTGTTAAGACACTTTGCGTGCTACGAGCTATTTGACGCTGACTGTACCTACTCTCTTCACCACGTACAGTGGCGGCGTTAGGGTTGCCAGGCGTCCGGCTTTAGCCGGACATGTTTGGCTTTTTAGGGTCTTGTCCGGCCAAATATTGCCTTGTCCGGCCTGTCCGGCTTTTGTTAGGCTTTTTATTTGGTTGCCGCGCCAGGCGAAAGTCGAGCCACAGAATCATATGAAGCGCACGCATCTAGGGTTGCCAGGTCCAAAATCACACAAAATCACAAAAGCCGGACTTTGTGCTTCATTTGGCCGGACAAGTCCCTAAAAAGCCAAACATGTCCGGCTAAAGCCGGACGCCTGGCAACTCTACACGCATCAGGATGTTGGTTAGCAACCGATGATGATAGTACTCACTCATGAGCTGACACTAATTGCACCCCCCCCCCCCGTCACATGTCCGGCTTTTAGGGTAAAATGTCCGGCCAAATGAAACACAAAGTCCGGCTTTTATGATTTTGGACCTGGCAACCCTAGGCGGCGTAGCACGGGTTGGTAACTCCAGGATATATGATAGATAGATGATGATACCAATCGCATGTCATGGCCACCCTTGTCATGCAGATGCGCCAGTGAGTACTAATCTGCGCGACTGTTGTCCCCCCCTGATGCTTGGCACCCGGGGCGGACCGCCCCCCCCTCTTACGCCGCTACTTACTGGCCACGTATAATCGCACTTTCACGTCACACACGCGTATCTTTGGTGGGAAAGTAGCATAGCGATAACTAACTCGCTTATCCTAGGAATCTCTCTTTGTTCTAGCTAGAGGAATTTATGCTACAGATAGCAGAACAGTCTATGGTAGGTAAGGTAAGAAGTAGGTAGGTACCTACTTAGGGTTAAAAGTTGGCCAGAGTTGCAAGTATCCATTTCCGTGTTTTCTTTCGCTCTCATGATCACCTCAAAAATAAAAGTACTTAATTACCAACCCGCTATTAAATCACAATTGTAATTTGACTGATGTGCAGAATGTATTTACTTATACTCAGTTCTGTAGGTACCTACCTATTATTAGCTTTCCTTTCATCCATGATAAGAAGACGGTAGAATCCGGTAGATACCTACCTGCAACATCTTGTATTGTCGCAAAGCAGTTTGTCTGTCTCGTCAAGCAGCTTTTGAAGTTGTTGTTGAGCAAGAGTTATGACAGGGCACTTTTTGTGTAAAATACTTGCTACTTCTCCTTCAGAATCCATATCGCAACTGCAGCCAGGCGAACCAAATGCATGGCCATTATTTCTCTCATCACTTCTGGGTGATAATTCTGTTACTTCGATGTTCCTAGGACTGTTAATATCGTCTTGCGTCTCTCTGTGGTTTTTCTTATAACTTTTCCTTGAATAACGATAAATGTTTTGCACCTGGTAATCGTCTGATGACATTACTAACAGCTTGAATATAGGTACTAGAAGATGCAACTTAGGATGCAACCCTTAAGTTTTATGAATATTTTGATAATCATAGCATCTTGATTTGTTGTTTTCTATCAAAATCACTTTAGATCGGTTCTCGCAATTATGATTGCAATTGACAACGTCAAAAGAAAATTAATTGGGCATGCAGAGAAATACAGACTGTCCAAAAAAGATCGTTTCAAACATAAGGAGAAGATAGACCAACTAAAGTAGGTATAACACGGAGTGGAGCAGAGAAGTGTTTTGAATAACCAATCAGAATTAATTATTTCCACTTCTCTTTTTAGCTCCGCTCCGCCGCCTCTGTCAAATTCTATAGAAAAATTTGAGACGGCCCGACACTCTCCGCTCTGCTTCTGGTGGAAACCTGGTCGTTGTGGAAATATTTGTTTGTCCTGCAGTGGACATCATTTATTGCTTGAAACTAACGTACTAATGATGCATTAATATAAGGCAATTCTACTTTTTTCATTGAAAATAGGGTTACAAGTAAATTCGAGCCTATCCATAGAAAACCTCACTAGCGATACTTGGTAGATACTATTTGTGACATAGATCTTAGACATCTAAAATATTTAAAATGCGTAAACGCATTGGAAATGAGATACCTATATGAGCGTTTTTAACAATGTATAAAAATCCGTAAATCATTTATGTTACAAAACGTGGTAAGATATTTATCAACTGAGAATGAAAGACTCAAGTTCAACATTTCGCTTCAGCGATAACTTTTTAATAGTCTTAGATTAGAAATATAATAATAATCAATTTTACAGTTTGTACAGGTCAATTAAATAAAGTATAAAAATGTATAAATTCAGCACTACTTATTTTGCAATATCAGAAGAATGTCAATCTCCAAATGATTGGTGCATGAACTTCTTGGAATATTCGTAGACTACGAAAAGAGCCGCAGTAGCTGGTATAGTTCTCACTAATGTAGGTTTTAAACCATTGTAAAGAGCTAAGGCACCTGAAAAAAGAAGTTATTCATTACATACCATCCGCTTAATTTGCATTGAAGACACATTATCACCCACTTTTACCCATTCATATGTTTTCCCATTATTGCGATTATACGACACCTACTCATTTGAGATTTTTCTGAATGTAAGTATTAAGCCTGTATTTATTTTTCGAAACCAAGATAGCCGAACGGTGAAGGGGTCGGACTGGCCGACTCGTGATCCGGGGAATGTGGGTTCGGTCCCCGCCGCCGCCGCCGTTCGACTATTGTGGTGAGCTCACTCGTGATACAAGCATAATAATAAGCTTAGTACGAGGGGCTAACGGGACTTTGTAACACAAATTACTAATAATCTTAATTTTTTTTTTAAATGTAATCTATCTAGTGCAAGTGATTTTACTAATATTGTTATTAGGTAAGTGGAGATTTACTATTAAGTAAAAAAAAATTTGTAAAATTATGTACCAACCTTCATTTTTTATTATTTCATATCCCACAGTTAAAAACTTTTGGCTCTTGTTAGAAATTTGTACTCGAGATTTGATGACGTCAGTAGGAAATATAACAGTCCAAAGGACTAGTCCACCAACGGCTCCAGCTATCATGGTCTTTACGAAGCCAATATCTTCTTTCTTTTGTCCGGGTTTTTTGAGTAGTTCTCTTGTACCTGTAAAAATCCAGCTTGTTAAAAGAAATCGATTAAATAAAACTTACTCTTTTTAACTTCGGCTCTGATATTATGGCGGACGTTCATTCAAGTTTTTGCCAACCTGGGATTTACACCCTGTATTGATGATCTTCCTCACATTATTGCATAAAGATCTGTTGTATTTATCACGTATTCGTACGTGGCGCAGACTGGGTTCGTAATGCGTATGAGACAGGCACGTGAAACAACAATGGCAAGCCGAGGGTGGAATGAGTGGAATCAGACAATAAGTATTCTTAGTAGCTAGCGCATTGTACCTCTGTAATACATAAATTTATTATTATTATTTTCTTACCTTCATAACCACCAAAAAAGAAAAAGTATCCTGGCATTTCTCTCATGATTGTCGGGACAAGTCCTCTAAATAGACCTTGTATCCCATATTGCCTAAAAATCTGTTGCGTCAACTGTAGGGGAGTCACTTTAACCTGCAATGGAATAAAGATACTTATTATGGAAATTAATGGGACCGTATTTATTTACTTTATTAGCTAGGTATACAAAACAGGACAATGTTGGAACAAGTTTTATCCTATCCTACTAATATTATAAATGCGAAAGTTTGGATGTCATGATGTCTGGATGTTTGTTACTCTTTCACGCAAAAACTACTGAACGGATTTTGTTGAAACTTTACAGTATTACTGTTTATAACCCAGATTAACATATAGGCTATAATTTATGACGATCTGTGACATACTAAATTTCACGCGGGTGAAACCGCGGGCAAAAGCTAGTATACTGTATTTAACAAAAAATAATGCTATTTTAAACGAGCAGACTTGGTTTCTTGAGACTTTATAATTAGTGTGTGCTATACAGGGTGGAAACGATAAGTGGCGGCTTAGCATGGGTTGGCAACGCAGATGCGCCAGTGAGCACTAATCTGCGCGACAACAGTCACCCCCTGATGCTTGGCACCCGGGGCGGAAGGCGTTGGATAGAGCTCGTGAAGCACTTTCAGGATCAGTAATCAATTTTTGGATATATTGTATAGTTTAGAAATATTCGAGTGAGATCACTTATCGTTTCCACCCTGTATAATTATGTGCGCATTCAGGCCCAGTTTCCACCAAGGCGGAGCGGAGAAGTGTTTTGAAATCGATCAGATTTCACTTCTCTCTTGTCTTCCACTTCTGTTCTCCGCTACGCACTTCTCCGCTCTGCTTCGCTTTGGTGGAAACCGGGCCTAACTATATTTAGTTCTCGAATTAATATCAATATTATGAAAATGATCTAGGGGAGGGCCAAGTGGGCACTTTGTAAGTTATTAACAATACTTAATTTGTTATAAAAATTCTATTCCACTGGTATTTTTGTTTTTTAATTAATTTAACAGTTATAGCCCGACCAGGAACATAAAAACCCTCGCCATGTTGCGGAAAACTAATGGTACTAATTTCTTTTAATGGCAACAGTAACTGAAAACTTCATTGAAATGTCACCTTGCATGTCAGTCTATTGCTGTCAAAGTGTAAACAAACTTTAGTTTAAATGTGCGCAATTGATTTTGTGAATTAAATTGCTAAAATCTTTTTATAGTCGTAAAAGAAAAGTGGTTCACAAGGTGTTAAAGTATTTGTCGAAGAGAAATACTAAGGGTTCGGACAATATTTTCATTGAATAATGTTTCCGACAAAGGTTGTCAAATTGACTGACATGTTTATCGTATAGTACAGTCCACTATGAAAATTAGCTGTGGTTTGTTTCAACTACCTATTTTAAAGTTTTTTGTCACTTTCTAAGTGTTGAATTTTATGGAATTGGGAAAGAAGTACCGAGTTTGAAGCGTTCATGAGCAGACATTGCAGTTGAATATTCAAGTTCTGAATTTGATTATTGATGAATAATAAAATAAATCCTACTAGCTCGATTGATGGTTTCATTTAATTTATTTAAACCAGGTTACCTATAATAATATTTTTTCGTTAATTTATGAAAATATCAAATTAGCCCGTAATCCTGAATCCTAATACATAAAGTTAGCCTATTAATTTAACACAGGTACGACTGTACTCAGTGTTGCACTATCAAATGCAATTGACGCGCCTCTATGCCAGGGTTTTTATGTTCCTGGTCAGGCTATACTTTTGAAACAACTTGCCCGCCATATTTTTATAGGTCATAAAACGAATTATGTGTAACATTATCTAGAAGTTTTAAAGTTTTCCTATATTAAGTTATAATATTTACTAAACCTAGGCGCAGACCACCGACTATTAGTTGGCCGATAGTTGGGCCCGATACTAATTTGTATGAAGTATCGTCCGTTACCAAATCGGTATAGTGTGCGCACTTTCATACATCTCCATACTGATGGCATGGCTGAAAACCAGTGTTGCAAGGATCTGTCCTTACAACGTATACTGAGCCAGGTCCAATTGCCTTCAGTGTACTTATTAGTTGTAAGTCTAACTACCTGTACCTACCTATGTCTAATGGTTTGAAGGCAATAAATACATTTTTTATTTTTTTTTTTTATTTTTTTTTTTTTGATCAACAGCCCGACCTATCGGCCAAATAAAAATCGGTGGTCTGCGCCTAGGTTAAGTCTTACATTTTCTAATCATTTAGAAACTTACACCCATACCATACAGGGTGGCGCATACATCGATAAACTGAGGCAGATAATAATCGTGCCTCCGCGGCGAGCTCCGATAGCAAAGGCCAATTAGATATTAAAGATATTGTCTATATTAAAATGACGTAATAAAAACATATTATGAACTATTACTGATTAGGATACTTTCTGATAATTAAATCTACTTCAAAAATATAGATAAACTTATCTCTTGAGTAAATATTGCACAAGTACACTGTACAAATTGTTATAAATTTATAAAAATATATCTGTCACAGAAAAACTTTATCGCGCGCGTCCCTGTTTCAATAACCGGGATAAAAACTATCCTATGTCCTTTCCCGGGACTCAAACTATCTCTATGCCAAATTTCAACAAAATCGGTTCAGTGGTTTAGGCGTGAAAGCGAGACAGACAGACAGACAGAGTTACTTTCGCATTTATAATATTAGTATAGATGATGTTACTTTAATATACTAATATAATATACATATATACTTTAATACACTGTAATAGGTGTGACATTGCAAAAAAAATGGGTAGTTTGTTCACATTGGCTAAGTTGCACCACCTAAACTTTAACCGTAATTTTATATAACTGGTGTTTTTGTATGGAGTTTGACTGACTTTAGATTTTGGTTATATGTAGTTGATATAAGATGGTGCAACCCAGACTTATATGCCTTTTTTGTTATACTAAACAGATACCAAAACAAATCACCATACAGCTGTTTGTGAAGTTTGCACATTGACCTCCCGCATAGCTTGCAGTTGGCATTTGATAAGTTCAGTCGGGCAAAGTGTAAATGAGGAAAAGAATGCAGCCAGAAAACCTGCTGATGCATTGCCCAATGCTGACAGTTGCTCGATATTCTGAAATGTAAAAATATATTTTATAATATTAGATAAAATATAATAATGTCTTTTTAATACAATTTCATTAAAACCTTAAGATTTGCGGTTTATATTAATTTATGGACTAAATAGAAAAAGATGTACTAGCACTATAAAACCAATGTATTATGATTTTTACCTCTGTTCCAGTAACACTACAAACAAATTTCTGACAGTATCCATAGGCTGCAAAAAGAACTGAGTTCTCAGCAACATTGGCCATAATCGCTGGAGTGGTGCCAGCATATAAGCCTCTTATAACCCCATCATTTCTTAAAGTTTGTTTAAGGCAGTGATACATTCCCTTATACAAATGTGGAAATGTTTGCATTTTCACTTTAACTGTATCTAATGGCTGACCAACATACACAACTGCTACTCCTCCTGTAAATAACATTTAACGCAAATTTAAGAAAAATATATTTACCAAAATAATATGGATTATGGAATAAATTAAGTTTTATTAATTTTCATTTTACTAATATACTAAGTCCTGCACTCTTACACACCACATTGGAAGTATAATTATTTTTATGTTTATTCAATAACTTCAACTTACCCAAAGATCCAGCAGTAAAATCAATAATACCATTTTTGAGGTTCCCAGACGAACCAGATGAATGAGTCATTTTTCCAGTTAAGTAGGTATATCTGTGAAAACTGAAAATGATTTGGGCATTTTTTAAACCTATTCTAATGTGCCTTACTTGGTAAGTATGCAGGATTTAATGGGAACGAGGATAGAGGAAATAAATTTTATAAATTTTAATCATGTAAATAAATACCCTTATGCTTAAATAGTTTGTGCAAAATTCAACAATTTATTGTTCTGTGAACAAACAAAATATACTGTTGTAAATAAAATTGGATAAATATGATAAATATCACCACACGGTCGCTTATCTATTTTATGAGAAGCTCGCGTGGAAGCAACTTTTGTGATAAGTATGATAAGGTTAAATAGTTGATAACATAAAAGTTAACCTCGCCATAAAATTCATCACTAAATAAAATTCATAGTTGTCTGATGAAGAAAATAGACATATTCACTTTTTACTTATTTATTAAAATACTACTTACTTACCCACTTTGTTAAATAGGTATTTTTGTAGTTTTTCCTAGTTTGTTTTTGAAATTGAATATTTAGCGCTTGCTCGCTCAGTCAGCTGTGATGTGATGTTTGACAGTTCTTGCCAAAGAGCATAAAAGAGTGGTTCTTGCGTCACTTTCGAGTCACCAAAGATATTGTAAATGAAGGTTGAATACGGTATAAAGAGCTATTGGCTAATTTTAAACAAACAGTGTATATTACTTAGATAATGGACGCGCAACAACAAAAGTTGAGGACAACTAGCCTGTCGGAGACATTCAAATTAGCGCAATCGGGGCACGAACGGGGCGAAAGCGGAGAGGTGTGTGGGTGAGTGGGAGGTGCGAGGGATAGACGATAGTCACGTTCTTTTTTGGTATGTGCTAAAGCAAGCACGTTTATTTTAAAGGTATGCCCAGTCCATAGTACGTATAATACGTCAATGGTTTTGCCTCACACAATCAACAATTTTATTCAACCTTGATTAAAATTGTCTGTAGACAAAACATTGTTTCATTACACATTTATGTTTGCACCAACAATGTTTTTGCTTTTCATGCCCGATGGAAAACACGTACACAAAATCTCTCTCACGTGGGTCAGGGGCAGAATATACGTACTGTCACATCAATCATTTCACATTTGTCATTTTGACAATTCGCTAGCTCGGCTTGTACCTACGTGTTTGTGTGTTTTGTTTGGCAGCAAGGTTTTATTTATTTCATAGTCTTTTTGGTGGTGTAGTGCAAGTACAGATGGATTGGAATAAAGAAACGATCTTAAGCTTCATTGGCTTTATAAGAGAGAGACCTGCGATATGGAACACTCAATCGCGGGATCACAAAATTAAAAACAAACGACATGACGCCTTGGCAGAAGTGGCGATGTTGATGGGCATCTCAATAAAAGAAGTTAATGTAAAATGGACTATTCTTCGAAATCAATTCAGCCGGGAAAAGAGAAAGATGATGGGTTTGTTTCTATTTCTTGTATTTTAATATGACACGACAATATTGTTAATTAATTAATTGTTATTGATTAATTCCTTTTACTATATTTTTATTTTTTACAGTATTGTAAGTCGAGATTCCAGCGCGTGACTTGCCCTACATAATCAAAAAAACATGTCAACATTTTTGTAGGCAATTTTGTTGAATGTTGACATGTTTTTGTTGATTGTATAGGGGAAAACGCACTGGAGACCCGGCCATACAAACTTTTGTTTGGCCATACAAGTTTGTATATTATTTTTAACAGGCAGCAGCGCAGACTCGGTATACAAAACAAAATGGTATGCATACAAGGAGATGGAGGATTTAATGTCATGCAATACACCAATAGTTTACATCAATAATAGTGAGGTAAGCATGATTTGAAAACTCCAATAAGTCGAGTGCCCCAATTGCGCTAATTTTTAACGTCTCCAATTCATTGGCGCTTCTTCTCCAGTTGCGCTCCGTTTTTCATTCCAGCTGAGGTGCAAAGTCGGTATCACGGTAATGGACGTACTATCGGCCACAGTGTTAACTATCCATTGCTTGTCATGTCATCTCGTTCTATCGCAAAGAATCACCATTTGATTAGAGCGAGAACAAAAACGGAAATGGATTGTTAGTATTTTCATTGTCACATGAGATATTTATCTAAAATCGAAGGTCGATTTGGAAGTTCAAGCACATGTTCAAGTGTTGGTTGCACTACTTTTGACAGAAAATAATGACGTTTACTTTGTTTTGAAGAATTTTCTAACTTTACTCGAAGGCGCAGCTGCTCTCTGTTTACGTCTATGCTTCGTTTCAACTAGTTGTCAAAACAACACCGCGATACGGATTTTTCAAAACAGCTGATGTTCGTTCTTCGTCCGGGGGCGCGTTGAAGATGAACATTTTTAGCGCAATCGGGGCACTGGTAATATTTCACCTTAAGTTTTCATTATTAAATGTGCCACGTGGCACTTAAAATCGGCATGCATCGCCTTACTTAAGTGTCGATTTGCACTGTCAAGTGTTTTTTAAAAGCTGGATTTTTTTAAAATATGCCAAATGCATTTTGGTCAATCAGACGCGACACATCTGTAATTAAATATTCGCTGTCTTGAACATTGTTGGCATTACCCACAGAGAACTACAACGCCACCGCCGCCACAGAGAACTCCAACGCCCCCGCGTTTATTAACTCAAGCACTACCATCTAAGCCACCGCTACCAAAAAAGAAGAAAAGGGAAACAGATGGCCAGAGTTCATTTTATAAAGAAGCAGTGGAAACATTGAGAGTTATTAGGGAAAGAAAAAATATCTCACAAAATCCTGCTGATGATCTAACAAGTTTTGGGTTATATATTGCAGCACGTTTACGACAATATTCACCACATTTACAATGTAAAGCTAGGTATGAAATAAATAGAATGTTATATAGATTGGACATACAAAGCCTGGAACCACCTACAGCTCTTGTTACTTCTGCTTCCAGCATAGATGATAGTGATAGTCCATTTTCTCCAGATTTCAAAACAACTTGGCTTTCAACAGCAGATGATCAATATGAAGAAATGGATAATGAAAACTCCATAACCCATACTAGCGACAATTAAGTATCAACAGTACCTATATTTGCGAAGCCTATAGGTGTGAGTCTCCTCCAGCTCCGCAAACAAAAAACAATGAAACATAGCACGAAATTACTGAAACAGCAGAGATAAAGCCGGGTCTCCAGCGCGTGTTTTGCACTACACAATCAACAAAGACAAAGTTTATTGGTCCAGGACAAAAACAATACTTAATGTTAACATTCAACCAAAATGGTCTAGAGCAAAACACGCACTGAAGACTCTGCTTAGTAGTAAAGGTAAAAAGTAATGAGGTTATTTTTCAGATACTGGAAGTACCTACTGAAACAAACCAAGCTGTTAAATATTTGTTAACATTAAAATGTAACCAAATAAAAACTTATATCAACCTAATATTGGTCTCTATTCATAAACTTACCTTTATATTGTAAAGTCCTTTTATCTCTTAAGCTTCAAAAATATATTTTTTTATTGTTGCTGTTTCGAGTGCGTTATCCTGGCAAAATGTCTCCTTTCAAAAATCTAACATAATGATGCAGTTAATTAGAGCCCTATCTGGTGTAAATGTGCCCGAAATTTTAAATTTGAGCCATTGGTCGTTCCGGCAGTATTCAAGAAAAACGGATTCTGCCAGGATAACGTTATCCTGGCTACATCATTTTCATCTGTTGGGTCTAGGTGGATGAAAATTACACCATTAGATAGCTTATTATTCGAGCCCGATTGTGCCCCGAAAATTATCTCAGGGTACTAATGTGTCACGTTAATAACTCTCCGGTGTGGCTAGATTTTTTTTAATGTCGGCAAAAATGTTTTGCTCATCCACACTACGGAAACTCCCAATTCCCTCCTCCAGTTTTTTTTATACAGGTTTTCTCTTCGTAGCCCTGGTACAACAAGACCCTCGGCCCGCCGTAGTGGGTTACGTTCTGCTCCATGCCGCTGCTCAGTCAGTCTGCTAATCAGAGAAGTACCGAGAGCGGCCTTCCAAAGAATGGGCCCGGGCAAATGCCCCGCTAGCCCCCACCTGTGGGAGTTTTTAAAGATGTCCCCTGCATCGTGGCCCGGGCAAATGCCTCGACGGCCCCGGCCCACTCAATTGTGGGTTATGGGTTGCCCGACAGGCCCACCTAGTTGACAAGACCTGCCGCGCAGAGCAGTGAGAAGTTAGCCGCCCGCGTGAACAGACTACGCGAACGTTGGGTAAAAAAACGCCTTTGAGTAAAATCTGACAAAAAGCAGTAATACTGTATTATGACGTATTTGTTGTAATACTAGTATTACCGTGCAGAAAGCTACTTTTTCTCATACGCATGTCAAGCGCTACACGAATATTTACTGCTGTGTTTTAGGTTTTAGTAATTTTAACTTAAAAAATAAGGTGTTGAGACTTTTTTTTAATGAAAAGTGCATAATTCCTTTGTTTGCGCGTGAACTTTACCGCGATACCAAATTGCACATCAGCTGGAACGAAAAAGGAGCGTGACTGGAGTGTAGATTAGGGTTGAAATGCGAAAGAATTGGAGACTACAAATTAGCGCAATCGGGGCGCTGGATTTAGTACCGATTTTTGCCACTCGACGTTTCAGATTCTTTTGACTACAATGTAAATGGCCTCAACTCTCGTTGCGCGTTAAATATCAATACTGTGTAAAAAAAGAACGGTAATTTAGTCGAGTCGACAACGATACAAGGGCTCGTCTAACGACAAATAAGTATTTTAAATAGTGTACAACAATAAAAAAAAGTTATGCAATAAGGTGGTTTAGTTGTTTAATTTTGTTATCTTTGGAAATTTGGTAGTATTAAAAAAAAAGAAACTAAAAGAAAACATGGTTGTTTTTCAGCTTTCCTTGGAGATTATAAACATTGTTTGGTTTCATTAATGTTTAATTGATAGTTAGCTACAATGAAGTCGCTTTAATGGAAAATAAACAAAAGTTTTCCCATGCAAGAAGATAATAATAACCTAAAGGTTAGCGTCTGGATGTGCTTCTAGATACTGCAGTTGTTAGAAGGGAATAAACATGACTATGATCCTTGATCAATGATATTAGTAAGTGATTAAGTTAGTTGAATGTTAATACTGTTTATTTCATCAAACAATAGTTCTCTAAATCTAGCCTAAAACGTTGAGAATGAGTGTCAAAGATTTGACGTGTCGTTTTCGGGCTTTCATGATCGTCCGCCATGTTTGTCCTTTTATAATTTATTTAGTAAAAAGCTGATGAATTTTGATTTTGTGTGTTAGTGATAACCATGTTATGTATTTACAAAAGTATTGGGCATAATTTCCAAGTTTTAACCCTGTCATAACATAAAAGTACTGTTCATTAGTAAAGTCATTCATTAATAAGATTTTCTCGTCCTTTGTTGTTCAGGTTTAATTCAGAATGGTTGTTGGATCAGCGACGTACCCAGGGAGGCAAGTGCTCCACAAAATGCAGCCAATGGGCATGACCCCGCGCGAGCTCTCGGACTACGACGACTTGGCGACTGCTCTGATAGTTGACCCCTACCTTGGTATCACAACCCATAAAATGAATATCCGCTATAGACCAATTAAAACAAACAAGGAGGAATTAAAGAATATTGTAAAGGAATTCATTCAAACTCAAGACTACAATAAAGCATATTCCAAACTAGCCAATGGAGACTGGATGCCAAGACATTTTAGCAAAAATAAACATCAGCAAAGTAAACTGAGAGAACATGTTAGTATTTATTGTAAACAGGTTGTTGTTTGTAGTTTAATTATTTTTTAAATAAGCATTCTTTTTATCTGGTACAGCTGTTTCAGTATTAATACACCATTTATTGTTTAATGATACGTATTTGATTGATTTTGGTTTACAAAATTGTATTCTGTATAAAATAAAACAATAACATAACTTGTTTCAGATTTATCGTTACCTGCGAGTATTTGATAAGAAGGCTGGTTTTGTCATAGAACCATGTTATAGATATTCATTAGAAGGTCAAGTTGGAGCAAAAATTTCAACAACCAAAAAGTTTTTCAAGCATGAAAGAATAGATTTTTTAGTTGGATGTATAGCAGAAATGACAGAAGATGAAGAAAAACAACTACTTCATCCTGGAAAGAATGATTTTTCTGTAATGTACAGTTGTAGAAAAAACTGTGCTCAACTTTGGCTTGGGCCTGCTGCATATATTAATCACGACTGCAGACCTAACTGTACTTTTGAGGCCACTGATCGAGGCAAAGCATTTGTACGTGTTTTAAGAGATATAGAGGTTGGAGAAGAAATAACTTGCTTCTATGGTGAAGATTTCTTTGGGAATGGAAACTGCTATTGTGAATGTGAAACTTGTGAAAGACGAGGTAAAGGTGCATTTTCAGTCAAAAGTGCAGACACTGATGAACAAGCAACTAGATATAGATTTAGAGAAACTGATAACAGAATTAATAGGACAAAAGCTAAGATGACTAAAAAGATTGAAAACGGAAAAAGTTCTGAAAAATCTCGAATGTCAAGTCGTCAAAATTCGAATATAGTTTCACCACTGAGCATGAAGGAAATGAAACAGAAAGGTTTGACAAAATACGATGCTGAGTTATTAATAGCTCAAGGATGTATTGCTGATGTTATGGATGCTTCAGCAAATAAAGAAGGCCAAGGAAGCAGAGAGTCTTCTGCATCTAGTAGAGGTGAGCGTTTAAGGAAGCGCACTGATAGCAATCGCACTGCTAACGGTCTAACTAACTCAAGTTCAACTAAGCAGAGAGCTCCACCATCACGGTGTTGTAGTACAACCAGTTCAAGAAGTAGTAGAGACTCTCACACTGGTATAGTTTTAAGAAGCCATAAGCGGCTTCTGGAGTCCAGTAATCAACTTACATGCTCCAAAATTAAAAATAATGTCAAAACTGATGATGCAAAAGAAGAAGATAGAAACCTCAACACTCCTAAGGTAGAATCAGAAAATATAAGTGAAATAGAATTAAATAAAATAATTAATAAAACTGAAATAACAAATAGCCACCATAAGCTTATGAAAACTAATACTGAAGGCATTGTAGTAAATGTGAAGCAAGAAGGTGATTGTGATACAAAAGAATCTCTGCATCAAAACATAGAAACAATTACACCCTTTGAAGTCAAACCAAATAGTCCAGTAGAAAGACCTGAAATTAAAGAGCAAAAAATAGAAGTTGACTGTGTGAGTGGTAATAATGCATGTTCCAGAAGTGAGATTTATGACTTTAGAGAAAATGTTAACCCAAGTGAAATAAAAGATAACAAAGTGAACAAAAGTTATAAAGTAGAATCAACGGAGCGAAACGAAGATTCTAATAAAGAGGCTGACTCTGGACCTCCTTGGTTAGCAGATAATTCTAATAAAAGCAGCGAGTGTCCGTGCACACCACCTCGGAGAGGTCTGAAACTGACATTACGGGTGAAGAGGAGCCCAGTTGTGGAGGAGGTGATGGATTGTGGCGCCACGGCTGAGGTGCCCGAGTACGAAGTGTTACGATTAGAAGGTGTAGATCCGGAAACTGTGCGTCGATTTAAAAAAAGGCGTCGTTCAAAAGAACGCCATCGTAAGCACAGTCCCATCCGTCCTCTGCCCCCTATGAAACGCTTAAGGCTAATTTTTGGCAATGAGAGCCGTACAATTGATTTGCCTACTGCTATATCAGCAGACTGACAGCCGCAAATACCTTATGGTTACTTTTCCACCGTTAATATTCAATTATTAGTTTAATTGTCACTGACTAGGATATTTTATCTAGTATTTATTTTTGTGACTTGAAATTCTGATTAAGTATTGTGTGATAGACATCAGATTTTATTTGATGATTCCATGAAAATATTTATTGATTAAAATAGAAAATATTGAACTTGTTATTTCATTAGCACAAATTATTTAATCCTTGTCATGGGTTGGTACCTACATTTTGGGACTGAAATAATCAATTTGAATTTGTTTCGTAGTAATTCTTGTCAATGTTGAAGAGATTATAAATTAATATAAGTTTTGTGATACTGAACTTATCAAATCAATATTGTGTTCTATGTAACAAATTAACAATCTCTGATAATATTAGTGAAAATTATTGTAATTTCAACACTTCATAATAATGTAAGACATTTGTATATAAATGCAATATATAGTTAATTAGTTTTTTATGGATTTTGCTGAAGATGAGCAAACTTAAATTCTGTACGTACCTAATGCATAGTTTTAATGAAATTAATATAGTGCTACCAAATATGCAGTGATAATTTTGTTTCCATTTTCTGTTTGCCACTAAATGGTCTGAAGATGAAATAAATTAATCTCATCTTGATGATATAATATGAAATAATGTCTATATACAGGTAAATGTAGTTGTTACTTACCTGTATGTAAATTATAAAATGTTCGGCAGTAATTTTCACTTAAATGTTTTCACACAGGTGTATATTTTTATCGTTTGTTTCGACCAACTGTTTAGTGCTTCGAATTGCATTTTAAAGTTGCTCCAGGAATGATTTTGATAATATCTCTTGGAATTAAATTTCCAAGTCCTAAAGTAGGTGAATAATTATTTAAATATTAAAACCGAAACTAGCTCTAGCCTGCTTTATGAAACCCAAATTTTATGTAGTGTTTTACCTCTTTTAAGTGATCATACCTACTATAGTTTCTAAAACTTTTGTATGGACACTGGTGTGGTTGATTTGCTGTGTATTTATTAGTGAATGGCATGTTTATACCTCATTTATCTACTTACATACCTTTAGGACTTTGTATTTTTTATATTTTCACTGAAGGCTTAAACGTTTCATTTTATAACAAAATTGACATTGTGATGTAAACACAAATAATTAGTTAATTAATCGGCACTTTGTTACGCTTGAGACTTCCCATGGAGGCATAGGTTCATACTGATCTTCGTCGTCTGTGCCTTTATTCGCGTTGTCCACGTTTAAGCAACCAACCATCAACTATCTTTAATGTTATTGTTAGGTACCGTGGTGAGCTGACACGGACCTATCGATTTTTCACTAACGACGCGAGCGCACGGGTGACTTTGTCACCGTCAGTCTCTCTTTTTCTCTTAGGTGTAAAAGAAACAGATATATTATATAATATACTACTAACTAACAGATACAGAACTTTGAATTCCTCCAATGTTCTGATTAATTTCGTTGCGGGTCCAATGACTTTCCCCCGGTACAAAATTGACCTTCATTGGTTGGGTTTTTATTGGCGGTCAAGCTGTAGATCCTGGCTACACAGGAGTTGCAGCGGTGGGAATAGTCCCGTTAACTAACGGATAATACTGTCATGGCGACAAAAAAAAGTCACCCGTGCGCGCCCGATCCAAACGGGCTGGAGTAAATACCAAGACGTATGTAGGTAAGTACAGTCAGCGACAAATAGTTCGTGACACCCAAAGTGGCCAAAAAGTTGACAACACAACCTTAAACTAATTTAACTGATAAAAACGTGTTGCGAACTTTTTGGCTACTTTGGGTATCACGAACTATTTGATGCTGACTGTACATTTAAATTTTTAGTGGACATACTTGGAAGGAAAAGATGAAATATCTTTGGTTTCGTTTTAGAGAAAATTATTACATGCTGGGTTAGGATTTAACTTGTTTTGTGAGTGTTGGCTATGTGGAGATATTGTCATCAAAGTTAGGAAATTGGCGGGCGCGTGAGAAGACATCTGGCAAGCTGGACTGTTCTGGATCGAACAAACTTTAAACATGACCTGTGCACCGCGACGCGACGACTTCTCTGTGTGAACTTGAGACCATACCTTCGTATTCCTATCATTTAATGTAGATAGAAATGTATTTCTTAGGGTACAATACACGCATTTTCATTGTACTTTTATGTAGCTATAGTCTAGTTTTATTTACTGTTTTCTACTACCGCTTCGACAGGGAGTTCTCGACAGTTTACACTGTCTTTGTATGATAGTGTTAGGTTGTTTCACTGCCTATAGATATTTAATTACCGAATAACGTACGTACTTATGGGCAAATTAATAAGACTATTTAGTTACATAAATTGTATGTTTAGAAATACGAAAGAAATATTAGATGCAGGGCAGGCAGATTTGATTTTACAAGTTTAATATGCATTTGATTTTGTTTTGATACATTTTATTTCTGGATGTTTCAGTTTTGTTTAAGCAGTCATTTTATTTTGTGGGACTTCGACAATTGCCTAATTCTCGAGAATTAATAATCATTAATTATCACTTCAGTATAAATCCTATAGGTAGCGCCAGTGCTGCTCACCATGGACAGATTTGATAGATTAAGGAATTTAGTGGAAAGCCTCTTCGAAGCACATACGTTTTGCATAGTCTTACATCTAGCTTGTCTTCTCAACCTTCAAGGAAAAGACAAATTTATTTGAAAGGCTTTATCAGAAATACAAATTTACTGAACATAGGTAATTATTTTTATTTTAAATAAGTATCATATTAAACTTATTGCCGCTTAATGCAGTTTTACGCGTCCGATATTTTTAAAATAAGCCAGTTCCTTATTTATATTATACCTACACTGTAAACATTTTCCTGGAAGGAAGGAAACAGCACACCCAATTTTGTGGAGTGGTTGTATTGTATTATAGTCTGTAAAATTATGCTAGTTGTGGAACTAGCTTTGTGATATTCCTGATTGGAATAGAATGTAAAGTAACTAAGTTAGTTGAAAGCAGTTGAATATTGTTGACAAAATTAGTTATTATGAAATATTTTTCATTTAGATAATCACAATAAAATGCCTCAAGTTTCTTTCAAAAATGTGTAATATTTTTTTCCCTTTAATTCAGACAGTAAAAAAAAACAGGTCATTGGCTGATGGAATATTATACTATTTCTGTGAATTTTTAATATTGTATTACAATTTTTTTTACATTAAAAGTTACATTCACAAATAGTGCAAAATTAAGAACGAAACTAGTTAATTGAGTTACATTTATTTAGAAATTAATGAAAAGATGACATCATGAACCCATAAATATTACTTTTACTGTTGGCTTCATGTGATGCTGAGATAGGTTTGTCATTAATGTCCATACCTGAAACATAAAATAGTCTAGATTATTATTGGTTGCATAGTTACATGGATTTTGCCTTATATCCTTTAAAATAGAACTATGTATTATTTTGCAAGTGCTAACTGCTATTGTTCCTTTTGAAAAAAAAAGGACAAAAAATAATTCTGTTGTTTGTAAAAATAGAGTTGATAGTAACAAGAAATACACAGTTACTTACTTTTGGAATTCCCACTCTCGGTTATCCAATGGACAGACTTGTCGAGTTTTGAGCCAACGTGAGATGCAGTGGAAATGGAACGCATGCTGAAATTAAATTAATTACCAGGTTAAATTGACATTATTTAATGATACTTAGAATGTGAGCAATTTGATGGGTGGAAAGGGAAGATTTAAATAAATGTTTAACTTTACAATTAAAAATTTTACTAGAAACAGTACAAAGAACAGAATCTTAAGCCTGTAATATGAGAGAATATGCAAATGCAATGATTTCTGTTTGTCTGAAATTTAAGTGTATAATAACAAACTACTACACATGGGCAGCCAATACTGTTACACTGAAGAATGTTATGCATAAAATGTATATGGTATAAAGACAGAATAATTACATTACAAACTCCCCAGGCCACTGTGCACTCTTCACTTGTAGCCGAAGCTTGGTTGGCCTGGCATTCTATACACAAATCCATAATATGGTTGCGACAGATGGCACAGTTGTCCACAACAATGTCTGAAAATAAAAAGTATAACATCGAATACCAATATCACATAATAGGTTTGCTTTCTTTGTTTCATGATAGGTTATGATCCCCTAACTAAACCAACAAAATCTAAATTATGGATACATACCCCAGGCCCATAAAGCTACGGCATTCCACTGAAATGAAAATAGTATATATCAGAACAGATCTTAGTGTTAAACGAAATAAACAATGCAAGTAATGCAGCGTAATTATAGGAAAAAAAATAGCACCTTTTTGACTTCGAATCTTTTCTTATCGCCTTTTCCACTGCTTGAGGAAGCCATTTCAACTTCTTCTTCATCCACATCCATTACAGAAGCCATTTTTTAATCAAATATACCCGATTTTAATGTAAATAAAATTGTACACGAATTTTAATGGTCAGAATCGGAGGCAGATTTCAATTTTTATGACAGATTTGACAGACAGGCTGACGATGACAAGCAAAGATGAAATTGACAAGATAATGTCACTTTGAACCAAAGATATAACAATAAAGATTAAGCATTGGCCATTGCTTCAGCTGCAAGATGGCTGCAAGGCCTGCAAGTTGCTTGAAATCAGTTTATATTTATGGAAATAAACTGGTAACTGAGAAATAAACAGGAAAGCCTTTTTCTACCTCAGTCAGTCTAACAGGAGATAAAGGAGTGACAACATTTTTATTGATGAACAAAAAATTCTAACAATCACAAAGCTGATCCATTATGTTGCCCGCGGGCAGTGTCACCTTGCCCTCAATTACATGCTTAGACCGCGACAAAGATACAAATACACAAGGATGGACGAAGGAATGAATTTACGATCTCTATACAATTTTATAAGGGGAAACTTATGATACGAACCCAAATGCCTGTTAAAAAACTGAGATTCGAACATTACTTATTTTCGTAATCATCGTAAACCTGGGACGTCCGTTCCTAGGCCTCATTAGGACTGATTAGGACACCATGGTGGCTGGCACCACCGCGCACCGTTCGTATGTAAAGACACAGTGTGTTTCTGTTCGAACTTCTGATACTTTACTCACTCTTAAACAATATACCTATTCTTTGTTCAATTCCATTGATTCCATCGACAAAAACATACAAATTGGAAGAAGTTATTGGTTAGAACAAAAAGATACATTTTCAGACATTTTGTTGGTAGCGCGATAGGTTGCGCCACCATTGTATGTATACAGGGTGGAATTTTGTAATGCCACCTGGAGGGAAAGTACTACTCTTAATATTGTAGATAGAATTTTTTTCTCAAAGAAAACATTCCTTTATTTTTAAAAAAGAAATAGAACTGCATTCAAAGATTTCCAAAAATTTGCTTGCCAAACTCTCTAAAATCTGTTAAAAATTACACCCTGTATTTTTATTGCATCGATCGTTAGGGTTAAGTATAAGGATGAAATCTCTCTAACAAACTTGATAAATCAAATGAAAGGAAAACCATGAAATCTTAAATTATTTTAATTATGTACAGAAATTTGTATGGTATGGTAGTGAATTTTCGAAAAAAAATCAAAATTCTTTGAATGCAGTTCTCTTTCTTTTCAAAAATAAAGGAATGTTTTCTACAGTATTAAGAGTACTTTCCCTCCAGGTGGCATTACAAAATTCCACCCTGTATACCCTAATGAGATACGGCCCTCGGAGTACCACCTACCTCCAGACTACCATATAACTAGGATGTAGGTATTTTAATGTAGATATAAGTAAGTAGGTTTTTAAAAAAAATAACAATAAATTAATATTTTAGGCTAAATGATAATTCTTTAATTCAAATTCGTCCTCGGCAATTACATCAATTGCATCTTTATTAGTTTTGTAAGAGTTCTTCCATATTTCATAAAAACAAACTGTAGCTTGAAATCTGTAGCAGACAAGAAGCGGCACCGAAACATGCGTGATCAGTGTCCAAGCCCAAACTCCATAGAATTCCATCTGGAAAAAATAATATGATTTGGTAATGAATCGAGAAATCTCGACATAATATTTTAAGAATTTATTATCTATAAGATGAATGCGCTTTCATGCGCGATATGTAGCGGGAGGGCCGCAGTGGCACGGCCCCCCTCAGAATGGTGTGGTGCCCCCCGGCCCCCAGGATGTTGGGCTACTGATTTGAAGATCATAGTTGATAGTGCTAACTCATGAGCTATGATACTAATCGCACCCCCGTGACATAGCATCAGGGGACAGGCCCCTTAAAAATAAGCCTGCCGGTCTGGAAAAAGAACTCTAGATACGCCAGTGTGCGCTTTTATACGTACTTGCAGCGGATGAAATTCAGCTCTAGCGTTTTTGACTCGATTTAAGAGCCACAGCGCGAAGTTGCCCACTAAGAGGAAGGTGACGAGCTGCCGGCCCGGGCGCCGGCCGCCCGGCGCGCCGGCGCAGCGCCGCGACCACGCGTCCAGCACCAGGAGAGTCTGGCAAGAGCTTTGCACTAATGCGCAGAGAGGCGATAGTATTCTGAAACGGAAAGATAGAAATTAAGTTAATTGGAGATATAATAAACAGATAATTTGTACGTAAAACTTTTTAAGAAAGCTCATGTTACAGGCTAGGTGGGAAATTTAAATGGTGAAAAGGCATACCTTCCAAGTATCTATGTAACTATTACACTACCTATTATTTGGCAAAAACACCCTCCTGTCTGAACCGCTACTCTATCGCAAGCCGGCAACCGGCTTTACCGGAGTTATACTACGGCCTCACAGAAAACCGGCGTGAAGCAGCGCTTGCGATCTGTTTCGCCTAGTGAGTGAGGGTACCGGAGGCCTAATCGGAGGAAATGGGAGTAAAAGGTTGGCAGCGCACTTGTGACTTCACTGATGTTCCGGGTGTACATGGGCGGCGGCAATTGCTTACCATCAGGTGATCGTCATCATCAGTCAGGTATCTCGTCTGCCATACCACATAAAAAAGCTATTGGCTTTTGACAACGGGTTTAGTACCGTGTAGCTCGCCGCCCCTCCGGGTACCGCTGTATAAGGAAACCGGCGCCGATGATCTGGAACAGGTAGTAGAGGTAGACGCCGCACTGCGTGACGAGCAGCAGCGCGTGCTCCAGCGGCAGCGCGGCCACCGCGCGGCGCGCCGGCAGCGTCCGCATGCGCTGGATGCACGCACCCGACCCCGCCGTCATCAGCACGAAGAGAATCGTTTCCCAGACGTTCACCTGAGTGGAGTTTTTTAATTTGAATTATGAGGAAAAAAACCATCCGCATTTAGAGCCCCTACCCCAGACTGGGAAATTAGATTTCTTGAGTTGAAATTAATAAAATAGTAATTTTAGTAGAATTTATGTAGGTAAGTACATAAAAAACGGAACAATATTATGAAACGAGTTTCAATTTATCAATTGAAATAAAAAGCCTTGGATCGTGTGATATCAATCTGTTGGCATACGGGGTCCTCGTTTCTATTTTTCATTCCTACCAGAAACCTGCCTTGTATAGCCTGACCAGGAACATAAAAACCCTGGCATAGAGGCGCGTCAATTGCATTTGATAGTGCAACACTGAGTACAGTCGTACCTGTGTTAAATTAATAGGCTAACTTTATGTATCAGGATTCAGGATTACGGGCTAATTATATATTTTCATAAATTAACGAAAAAATATTATTATAGGTAACCTGGTTTAAATAAATTAAATGAAACCATCAATCGAGCTAGTAGAATTTATTTTATTATTCATCAATAATCAAATTCAGAACTTGAATATTCAACTGCAATGTCTGCTCATGAACGCTTCAAACTCGGTACTTCTTTCCCAATTCCATAAAATTCAACACTTAGAAAGTGACAAAAAACTTTAAAATAGGTAGTTGAAACAAACCACAGCTAATTTTCATAGTGGACTGTACTATACGATAAACATGTCAGTCAATTTGACAACCTTTGTCGGAAACATTATTCAATGAAAATATTGTCCGAACCCTTAGTATTTCTCTTCGACAAATACTTTAACACATTGTGAACCACTTTTCTTTCACGACTATATAAAGATTTTAGCAATTTCATTCACAAAATCAATTGCGCACATTTAAAATAAAGTTTGTTTACACTTTGACAGCAATAGACTGACATGCAAGGTGACATGTCAATGAAGTTTTCAGTTACTGTTGCCATTAAAAGAAATTAGTACCATTAGTTTTCCGCAACATGGCGAGGGTTTTTATGTTCCTGGTCAGGCTATACCTACCCTACACCCTAGTGTCAAGATATCGCGTCAAAGACAAATAGAAACTAAGCCATCACTAGAATTATATCAAAAGAAAATAATAACATATAAGTAAACCTATTTATGAACTTAGTATGTTTTATGGACTTTACGGTCATAATGATTAGACCACAAACTGAAAAAGCAAATCAGTAACCTGTAGCAACGCCAGCTCAACGTGCTTCTGGTTCTGGAACAGCCCATTGAACAGCATGAGGCTGACTATGGTCCCCGCCAAGACCGCCACGCCCATGAAGAGACCCTTGTGTGCGCTCCCGCAGTCCACGGAGAAATGGTTGTTGGATTTAATCCGCGCGCAGCACCGTCGCGATTCTATGCCAAACGTTTGAGGACTGCTGTTAGATTTCTTGGTGAATTTCTGTGTACAAACATTAACTCTCAAACATCTAGTTATTGTTATGTTTAAACGATTTTGAATTTTTGTTAAAGTCAGTTTAGATGATTACTTGTAAAAGAACAGATAGTCGTAAGCACATCAGACTAAACGTTTTTAACTGGTTAATAGGTAGTTTTATTAAAATACGAACTTACCGATCCTGGTACAGTGCAGATGTCATTCCATATCACAGCAATGATGATGGAACACAAGAGACTGTACTCCACTCCACACGGCCGTAAGTAAGGGTTCACGCTTCGGATCAGCGGAGTGATCATGTCTGAAACATCACATGTCCAGTTTCGCATGGTTGTTTCGTTCGATGTGATATTAGCTAAGCTGAGGTGTTCAATGAAGGTTGCGTTGTCAACTTCGTCCATTATTATGGTCTGTGCTGGTCCACTGATGTTAGCATATCGCAGAAGAGCAGGTCGATCGTAAGCAACTGCGACTATGTCGTCTCTAGTCTCTTGTATAACCACATTGAGCCATTCGCAAACATTCGTGGCGATCAGATGCATCAATCCAAATCTGTCAAGGACCACTCCTCGCATTGGATCTAAAATCTAAAACGGGTTTAAATATTTTAAAATTTAAATCACAAATCTATTGTTCAATGTCTGAGATTAAGTCTTTTATCACGTTGTGGAGATGGGCTTCTATATCGACCTTTCATGTTTTATGTAGTTAGTGTATCATTGTTTCATAGGAATATTATATGACTATGGGGATGCATGGACCGATACTTGTTGGTATTATCAAAGTCGCGACATAGTCTTATATTTACTTTATAAAAGATTTGCTAATAAGTAAATAAACACGCGCAGTAAACAAATAAACGAGCGTGATAATTCCATTAGACCTCAAGAATGCGTCTGGGTATGTTACACATTTTAT